ATAACGTTTTTAAAACTAGGATGATGGTTCAATATCAATAGAACAGATCCAAGAACTGTCCATCCCAGTCAAAACAGTCGAAGTTTAGCGGGTCTCATGCTGTCATTAGCCAAAACATCTTGACAAACCACACATAAAGGTCGTGGTTCATCAGCTGGTCCTGTCCACGGAAATCCTTAACTCAAATACTGATCATCATATCGTCGTCTTTTGGGTTTAAGCCCTGAACTCAAAGGCTTTGAATCGGGGGGGTCTCAGAAACCCATCCATTGTGTTAGCAGGCATATACCTGTATTGGCGGGCTTGCCAAACAGAAGCGAATTCACAGCTATGGCCTTCTGCGTAAAAAAGGTTTTCTTATTTTAGACGTATTATTTTTTTTTAGCTTTGTTTAATTAAAACGTTTCAATATAATACAAAATACATATAATAATTAAACTTTATAATTATATTTTTATTATATAATATTTTTTCCTGCGCCTCCCCTGACATGCTCTGGCGCCCCCCAGGGGAGGCGCGCCTCACACTTTGAAAACCCCTGTACTATTCAGTCAAATATCTGTGATTGTTAACCAAGTGTGCCGCAAGCCTGCGTTTGAGTGAGGGTCTCGGCCGTTAGATCGCCCCCTGGGGGCTGGCTGCAGTACAAGTCATAAAGCCCGCCTCCTCCGTGTTAATGAAGGAGACTTGAGCCCAAATAAAAAAAATTATTACACTTGCAATAAAATGTCCCGAAAGATGGTTCTGGTGGATTAAGGCACTGGTTATTGTGCTGAAATAGGTGCAGATCTTCATTTTTGTAAACAGTTTGTTTTTAGCAGTAATTTAATGCTGGGCGTGTCATCGTGATTGACAGCTGTGATTGACAGTTTCTCAAAGCAGACAGTCTGAGCTTCGGCAGGAGACTGAAGTGTTATTATTCGATTTCTGTGTTATTTTACCATGACAAAATGAGTTCAGCAGTAAACTACAGTTTCTGACATACATGATCCTGGTGGAACACTGTTTATTCGCTAAGTTCAGGGCTTTTTTCGGGCTTTATTAGTTTGCTGATACACGCCTAGCCACCCAGATAGCAAAACACACTCGGGCCAGTTCCGGCTAGATTCTCGCCTGCCGGAGACTTACCCCTCAGAGCTCAGACTGACTACCTCTGCTGGACCTACTCCGGATGCCTGGGCTCACTGCCCGATTCCAGCTCGAGTCAATCGAGCCAGATGCGGCGGCCGAGCGAGCCGGCGCTGCCGTATGTGAGCCGGAATCAGCCCGCGACACCGCGAGTAGGTTATGCGCTGCGGCCCGGAGCTGGCGCGATTGAATATATAAAACCCTCATATTTGTTAACGTTATTACATCCATTTGTGTTGATATGACAGCAAACGCATGCTGAGAAGTTCGGGGGGCGTGGTTGATTTTACATAAAGCGTTTGATTGGAAGCTCGACTCTGCTCATTTTCGCGGCTCCTCCTCTGGCTCCATCAGACAGTCCTTCTGCGCATGTCAAGGCTCCAATTTCAGCAGTCTTTTGCGACAGTTTGTGCCCGTCAAGCAGGCGTTTTGCCCTCAAGGCGTTCAATGGGAAAAGGGGCTGTCGCGTCGTCCATATTTTTTACAGTCATTGGTGTTAACTCGTGAAGCCTTTTTGGCTGGCATATTTCCCACCATTTAGCTGAAATACTTCTGGAATATTTGCACATGCACTTCTGACCCTATTAACTGTAAGGCAAGGCACATTTACATATAAAGGACATTTTCAACACAATGATAATATAACGTGCTTTACACAAACTATAATAATGCATGAATGGTGTGTGATGTCATCAGTGTCCAGAAGGCCAGATGTACAGTATGTAAATGATCTGCTCGCCTCACTGAACTGCATGTATACTCCATGTCATGTAAAGATGTATGTTTCGGAGCCCTCCTTGACCCTGAAGTGTGCACCTGACCTAAGTGACCCCTGTGTGCGGTTTGATTGACAGCTGGATAATGACAGGTGACAGGCCACGCCCACTCCAGCACCACAGTCTATTCTACACATTTCTCAAGAAAAACAATAGTGTTTAATGTCCTGCATGAGCTGATGGATCTTATTATTTAGGGGGTCCGGGAGATGGTTCGTGTCTTGTCAGTAGACTTTTTGTTTTGTTTGTGGACGTGCATGATGTGTGTGGATAATCAGATGCTTGTTGTGTGCTTCTGCAAACACGCTGGACGCCATTTTGAGGAGGAGCGTCATGCTAATGGTAAGAGAAACTCCTGTCTGGCAGAAAGACTTGCATTTAATTTAACCAGGGATGGGAATAACTCTGAGTGGATTGTTTCAGATGCAGAATAAATAATTAATCATAATACTAATCATATGTATTAGATACAGGGTTTCCTCTGGGTCTTAAAAACTTTTTAAAAGTCTTACATTTTTTGTTCTAGGTCTTAAATGCTTTTTAACAGGTCATATTTTTCAGATTTCCATTTAAAGTTACCATCTAATACTCATTTAATGTATTTTTGTTGTTGTTGCTTGGTTTTGGTGGTGTTGTAGTTCTTTATTGTACTAGTCCAAATGTAATCTGCTGTATTACAACTACAAATTAGACCAACATGCAATAACCAATCACCAAACACAATCAGAGTCTCTCTGGGATTGTGTCACAGACGAAAAGTTGATTTCACTTTTTAGCTATAGGGAATGGTAGTTTTACCAATACTTGGCCTTACTTTTATTAAGAGAGACCTCATTTCATAAGTGACAGGACCGTTTGTGCTGATGTTTGACTAAAGTCTGCATCGCACCATCAAAATTACACTGCAAAACATGCTTTTCTTGCTTAGATTTTTTGTCCTGTTTCTAATCTAAATATCTAATATCTATTTTTTATATCAAAAAGAATTTTCTAAACAAGCAAAACATATAGTCTTGTTTTGAGAATTAATAAAATTCTTTTTGATTTAGGAATTTTTAGATATTTGGACTAGAAAAAAGACAAAAAATCTAAGCAAGAAAAGCATTTTTTGCAGTGTAAACAGCTGGACCTGAATTTACTCTTTTGGGGAAAGCTGATTTATTTTCTCTGTAGTTCAATTATTAATTTAGCCTGTCTTCAGCGCTGTTCAGTTTGAATAAATTTATTTTGCCACTAATTTATACTTTATCTAATTTATATCACTAATATATTTTTTTCGTTTTTTTTTTTTGCATTTTTTATGTGTATGTGTGTTTTTGGTGTTTTGATATAGGTCTTAAATTTAATACTTAATGGTCTTAAAAAGGTCTTTAAAGGTCTTTTAAGTCTTAAATTTGACATTATGATATCTGCAGAATTAATAACTCATCTCTAATAACTGATTTATTTTATCTTTGTCATGATGACAGTAAATAATATTTGTCTAGATATTCTTTAAGACACTTCTATACAGCTTAAAGTGACATTTAAAAGCTTAAATAGGGTAATTAGGTTAGCTAGACAGGTTAGGAGAATTGGGCAAGTTATTGTATAACGATGGTTTGTTCTGTAGTCTATCAAAAATTATATATAACTTAAAGGGGCTAATAATTTTTTACCTTAAAATGGTGTTTAAAAAAATTAAAAACTGAATTTATTTTAGCCGAAATAAAACAAATAAAACTTTCTCCAGAAGAAAAAATATTATCAGGCATACTGTGAAAATTTCCTTTATCTGTTAAACATCGTTTGGGAAATATTTAAAAAAGAAAAAAAAATCAAATGGGGGCGAATAATTCTGATATCAACTGTATGTATGTATGTATGCCTGTATGTGTGTATATATATATATATATATATATATATACATACATATATATATATATAAATATATATATATATATATATATATATATATATATATATATATATATATATATATATATATATATATATATATATATATATATATATATATATATATATATATATATATATATATATATATATATATATATACATATATATATATATATATACATACACACACACACACACACACACATACATACATACAGTTGAAGCCAGAATTATTAGCCCTCCTTTGATTTTTTTTTCTTCTTTTATAAATATTTCCCAAATGATGTTTAACAGAGAAAGGAAATTTTGTCTGATAATATTTTTTTCTTCTGGAGAAAGTCTTATTTGTTTTATTTCGGCTAGAAACATCATTTAAACATCATTTAAAGGTCAAAATTATTAGCCCCTTTAAGCTATTTTTTTTCAATAGTCTACTGAACAAACCATCATTATACAATAACTTGCCTAATTACTCTAACCTGCCTAGTTACCCCAATTAACCTAGTTAAGCCTTTAAATTTCACTTTAAACTGTAT